AAACATTAATGTATGATTTTCATTATAACTATATGATTAAAAAGTTTAGTAAAATCAAATTATTGTATACAGATACGGATAGTTTAATATATCATATATTTACAAATGATTTTTACACTGATATAAAACCTGACCTTTCATCATACTTTGATACCTCAGATTATGATACAAATAATATTTTTGAATATCCAAAATTAAATAAAAAGAAATTAGGTTTTTTAAAGATGAAAATAATGGTAAAATCATGAAAGAATTTGTGGGTTTACGATCCAAAATGTACGCTTTTAACTTAGAGAATAAGACTATAGCCAAGGCAAAAGGGGTAAATAAATGTATCACTAAAATGATGACAATGAATAGTTATAAGTCTTCTCTATTTAATAAAAAAGTGCAATATTATAGCATGCTTAGATTTAAATCAATTAAACACACAATTTTCACACAAAAATTAAATAAGATAGGTTTATCATATAATGACACAAAGAGACATATTTTAGATAATAATATTGAAACATTAGCTTGGGGTCATTATAAACTGCGTTAAGTGTTGATAGTTTTTACTTTTATGTCTGCGTTTAAGAAAAATTTATATTGATTGTAAAATTATGATAATACTATAATATGACGTAGTTTATTACATATTTAAACATTGTTTTATTGTAAATAATTTAAGTTAATTGTTGTTTCTATTTATTTGAGGTTGAGTTAATTGTAAAATTATGATGTACTAATTGTTGTTTCTATTTATTTGAGGTTGAGTTAATTGTAAAATTATGATGTACTAATTGTGTTAGAAATAGTATACAGATAATTCTGTTTTATATAATTTTTGGAATATATATTAATTGTTTACACCAACACTTTCATTTTTTATTTCACCCCTTTGAACTTTAGACGTGTGTTATGTTTCACTTTATCCATCCGTTCACTGCTATTGTGGCAGGACCAAGTGGGTGTGGGAAGTCAAATTTTGTAACAAATTTCATAAAATCAGTTACAGAAATATGTAATTGTGATTTTAATCAGATCACATGGTGCTTTGATGAAATGCAACCATTATATAATTTACCAAATGTTAACTATCATCAAGGAATTCCAAATCTTAATATGTTTGATGGTGAAAACCCACATCTTGTTATTATTGATGATCTAATGAGAGAGTCCGATGGAAGAATTGTGGATATATTTACAAAAGGTAGTCATCACAGGAATCTTAGTGTATTTTATCTAACACAAAATTTATTTCATCATTTATCATTTATCAGGGTAAAGGACAAAGAGACATATCTTTAAACTCAAGTTATATAATATATTTTAAAAACCCTCGAGATAAAACTCAAATAAGATATTTAGCAAGACAAGTATCACCAGATAACCCAAAATTCATTGAAAATGCCTACAGGGATGCAACTCTAGAGGCGCATGGATATTTAATGGTAGATTTAAAACAGAATACCAATGATTTTTGTCGTATCAAGACAAATGTCTTTCCATTTAATGGTTTCTGTACAGTCTACGTCCCCACAAGAGTTTAAATACACCAAGAATCAAACAATTGAAATCATTGCTAAATGATGCATCGTCGACTCACAACGTATAAACATTTGCTAACCGCTTTGCATACGCTTAAACCAAAATATCAAAGAGCATTACTTAAAACGTGTGATGAAGAAGAAATTAACTGTATTTGTGAGTGTATTCATAACGTTTTACAAGGAAAAGTACCTCTTGAAGATCAGGATAAACAAAAATTGAATAAACATAAAAACATACTCCGTAAACTAGTACGTAAGTGTAAACATAAACTAAGAAAAAATATAATTATACAAAAAGGAGGGGCTTTCTTACCAACAATATTAGGTGCAATATTGAGTGGATTAGTGAGTGGACTAGCCAGTTAACATGGAAAATGCAAAGAAAATGATACTTATCGAACCTGGATTGATTGAAAAATTAAAACAAGAAAATAAGGTTAATAGTAATTTATCTCGATTAGATATTGAAATGCAAAATATTATGAATAGTAAGACGGAAGACCGAAAGAAATGGATATTATATTTACAAACACTGCAAAGATACCTTCATTTTACCGAAGAGGATCGTCAACCACTCAAATTACCAATTTATTCTGATACATCTAATGAAGATTCAAATGAGTCAAAAATTGGTTTTAAAAATAAAGATAGAGATCTAAAAACTTCAGTTGATATTGAATCTTTGCTGGAGGAGAATCGATCCATTAAAAGTAAAGAAAATGATGAAAATCCACTTTACACACCAGCTCAAATACTCAGTTTAATACCAAAAACTTATCATAAAAAAGGGCAGTTATTATTAAACTTAGTTGAAACAAGTAAAAGTAAAATACATTGGGATAACGAAGGTACAGTCATAATTGATAGTGAAAAAATTCCTGGAAGTAATATTGTTGATTTAATAAATGATTCACTAAGACCCCTAAAAAGAAGTGATCCGGTAGGGTGGGTTAGATTTGCTGAAGCATTAAAAGATATTAAAGTACCACTTACTTATATTGGAAATCCAAGGAGATGTGAGTTTATTAACCAACTTCAAGCAAAAGATCTGAACAAACCCTCTGAGATTGAAGTTCAAGAGTTTTCTACACCGTGCAGTAGAGATAAAAAGTCTACAACTAAAATACGTAAAGGACTTGAGTGGGAAAAATGGACTCCGTACTAGAAGAAATTAACAGGATTTATTATGATCCATCTAATCCCGCTGGTTTTGGTAGTATTGATAAATTATCAAAAGCCATGAAGGGTAAAATGAATAAAAAGCAAGTAAAGGAATGGTTAAAATCACAAGAAACATACACATTACATAAACCCATTCGAAAAAAATTCCCGCGTAATAGGTACATTCTATCAAATATTAATGAACTGTGGCAAGCTGATTTAAGTGATATGCGAACTTATTCTCAATATAATGATGGTTTCAAGTATATACTTTGTATTATTGATGTATTTAGTAAATATGCTTTTGCAAGACCAATGAAAAAGAAAAACTCAGAAACAACTAAAGAATGTTTTGAAAGTATATTTACTGAAAGTAATTTAACACCTACTCACATACAATCCGATAAAGGTACAGAATTTGTTTCAAAAGATGTACAAAAATACTTTAAATCCAAAAAGATTAATTACTATACCACTAACAATCCTGACATTAAGGCCAGTATTGTTGAACGATTTCAAAGAACACTAAAAATGAAAATGTGGCGTTATTTCACTCATAATAATACTTATAGATATATAGATGTTTTACAAGATTTAATATACTCTTATAATCACAGCTTTCACTCTAGTATTAAGATGTGCCCATGTGATGTAAATTCCAACAATATTATGACAGTTTGGACTAATCTTTATGATAGACGGTCAAAAAAACTTTCTTTAGAAAATCCTAAACCAAATTTCAATGTGGGTGATTATGTTCGAATAACTAAATATAAACATGTATTCCAAAAAGGATATGAATCAAATTGGAGTGATGAAATATTTATTATATCTTCAATAATTGATAGATCTCCATGGGTTGTTTATACAATAACAGATTTACAAAATGAACCAATAATTGGTACTTTTTATGAAAGAGAATTACAGAAAATCACTTACAACCCCACCTCACAACATAAAATAGATAAAATAATTGACACTCGTTATTCAAGTAACAGAAAAGAAGTATTAGTGAAGTGGAAAGGTTATCCAGATAAATTTAACAGTTGGATTTTAGCTTCTAGTTTAAAAGAAATATGAATAAAGAAAGTTTCTATTTAACTTTGCTCAGCAATAGTTCAATGGAATACTTTCCTGATAACAAGACCACAAATTTTTCAACGAAATTACCAAAAGCTATAAAATTAGAAGGTGAATGGTCGGTTGGAGTTGTCGAGTTTCAATATCCATGTACCATGTTTACTGTTCAAGACCATGAAAATGTTATATACATTACAAAATCTATGTTAATGCCTAATGAAGATAAGCCATCCACAGTGTACTACAAAAAACATATTCCAGCTACCAACTATGATAACGTTGAGCATATTTTAAGAGTGTTAAATGGTATCGGAGAGAACTTGAAATTTCGCTATGATGAAATAACAAAATTTGTGTCTATTTCGGTATTGGATAAAAATATAACATCCGTAACATTATCACACAAATTAAGTTTACAGCTAGGTTATGAACCAAATAAAAATCTCCTAGAGAGAAATTTTGGAAAGTGTCCTGCTAATTTACACTTAGGGTTACCATCTCAACTATTTCTATATTGCGACATTATCGATCCTCAGATTGTGGGTGATGTTATGACTCCTTTATTAAGAGTCATTTCATTAGATCCTACAAAATACATTTATGGTGCAAATAAAATGCACGTTTTCTCTCAACCTCACTACTTACCTGTTATGCGAAGAGAGTTCGATACGTTGGAAATAGTTATAAGATCGAGTACAGGACAAAAAATACCATTCCAGTTTGGAACCGTGTGTATTAAACTACATTTCCGAAAATTATAATAATGAATTCTCTTCGTGATCATCATAAATGTCCATATGAAAATTATTATACACATCAAGCTGGATCAGGAGTTGGAGTAATTTATAAGGGTTCACCATATCAACGCGGTCATGGTATTGGGAGCTTCTTAGGGGGGTTATTCAGATCAGTTTTACCTTTACTTTCAAGTGGTGCTCGAGTGATTGGTAAGGAGGCATTAAGCGCTGGAGTAGGACTTTTATCGGATATGGTTCAAGCCCGTCCTATGGAAGCCTCAATAAAAGATCGTCTAAAGCAAGTTAGTACGAATTTAAAACGAAAGGCTGATGAGAAAATTGATCAATTTAACATGACTGGATCTGGGTATAAAACTAAAAGAAAACGATTGACATCGTTCATTCCACCATTAACTGCTAAAGTGAAAGCTGCGAAAAAACTTAGTCTAAAACCAAAAAATATCAAAGATATATTTTCAAACTAAATATGTCTTTCCTTCATAATCATTCTTGCGAGTGCGTTAAGTCAGAATTGAATTTGTTTGCACTACCGTCTACACAAACTAGCATTGAAAATGGATTGTGGATTCATTATAAACCAATTTCATCTCTTGGTGATGATGGACCTATCGAGTTTCAAGTTCCTGGGACCGGCGATGACTACATAGATTTGTCTCATACATTACTCCACATAAAGGCAAAAGTATTAAATCAAGATTCAACTAACTTGGTATCTACTACAATAGTAGCACCTGTAAATAATTGGCTGCATTCACTTTTTAGTCAACTTGATGTTTATTTAAACCAAAAACTTGTATCACCACCTAATAATACCTATGCATATCGAGCATACATGGAAACCCTTTTAAACTATGCCCCTGCTGCTAAACAATCTCATCTTACTTGTAGCCTTTGGTATGAGGATACAGCAGGAAAAATGGATTCTACAGATGGTAAAAACATAGGATTTGTTAAAAGACAGGAATTGATTAGTGAAAGTAAGGAAATAGAAATGATTGGTCATCTTCACGGTGACATTTTTAACCAAGATAAATTTTTAATTAATGGTGTTGAAATGAGTGTTAAATTGGTTCGATCAAGAGAGAGTTTTAATTTAATTGTTGGGTCGAACGATGTAAAGTTTAAAGTTTGCATTACGGACGCAACTCTTATTGTGCGACGAGCACGAATTAATCCAAGTGTATTACTCGCACATCAAAAAGTTTTAGCTTCTACCACTGCTAAATATCCTATTACTCGAACTGAAGTAAAAGTTTTAACAATTCCTTCAGGTGTTCAAGGAAAAACTCTTGATAATATATTTTTAGGACAGGTACCGAAAAGATGTATAATTGGATTTGTGAACAATTCTGCATTTAATGGCTCCCTTACTAAAAATCCATTTAACTTTGAAAACTATGGTATTAATTCTTTCAGCTTATATATTGATGGTCAACAAATACCTTCAAAAGCTTTGCAACCATCTTTTAATAATAGCATATTTACATCAGCATATCATACTCTATTCTCGGGAACTGGTATTCACTTTCTTAATGAAGGAAATGGAATCTCTTGTGAACAGTATGGCAAAGGTTACTGTCTATTAGCATTTGACTTAACTCCTGATTTATCAGCTAACTCATCAACTCATTGGAATCTCATAAAGCATGGTAGTGTAAGAATAGAAGTACGATTTGAATCCTCATTAATACAAACAATTAACTGTATAGTTTATGCTGAGTTTGATAATATTATTGAGATAGATAAAAACAGAAATGTTACTGTAGACTATAGTAGTTAAGGTTATAATATGTGTTGTGTGTTAGATTTTATGTGTTATGTGTAATGCATTTTGTGTGTATGTAACTATGTGAAACGTTATAAAATTAAATAAAACAAATTGTATGCAATATATTTTTTTTATTTCTTTATAAATCTTCTATTTAATCTAATACAAAACACTGTTCGAGTTGAAATTTTACATAAGCACACTGACTAAACCACTGAACATGCTGCTGCCAAGGATCATCATCATCTTCCCAATCTTTTAAACCACCACCACAATGGAAACACTTGGTCCCGTCTGCATGGCCAGTATAAAAGAAACCAGCTTCGGCAAGATCTTCAGGTTTCTGTCGCATAACTAGAGGCCAGTTTTCGAAACTAAGCAAACGGCTAGATTTTGAACTGAAGAATGGATATTCAGCTCTTGAGTACTGCATACTCTTCTCGTTTTCTTCTCCACTCAGTGTTGTAGTTTTGTTATTCAATGATGTGTTTTGTACACGTATGCCACACTCATCTCTTCCTTCCGCTCTTGTCTTCCTGTAATTGAAGTAAACAGAATCACATTCACTAATGATCAGCTAATGACTGTCATTGTTAAAAAAGTATTTTTTAACTTTTTCACTTTCTGCTATTGTCTTTGTTATATTGTATACGAGGGCGTTTGTATTGTCGTAGATGCTATCCTTATTAGTCTTTACGTAATATTTAATTCTCGTGGAAGCATGTTTCCAATGATCAGTAGTTGGAATCTTGGATAACTTCTTCATATCGTACATTTCAATTTTGATGAGATGCGTCGCTTGGTCTCCGTCGTCAGAATTAGTAGAAATGTATGATACACCATCTCTAGCGGCTCGTGCTACGGTTGATGATAACAGCTTCCTCTTTTTTATTTTTGATTCAGCTTCAAAAAAATGATCAATCGATTGCGATTTTCTTTTTCCACCATCGCATGTGTTATTATTAATGACGAGGTTATCACTCTCTTCTTGAGGGGAGAGTGGCGAGTAGTAATACTGTTTATAGGTATCTTCATCGAAGCTCAATGATTTCTGCAACAACACAGTTATCATGTTAATATCAATTTGTTAACACTTAATCATAAAAGTTAAAAAAGTTAAAGTTACAGCCTATTAAAGTCCACTGCTGAACATAGGCCTCCTCTCATTTCTGAGAGGGTTTTAGAGCAAGGAAATGTCCGCCGCGCTCCCTCAATGTGTGTTGGTGAACTTCACATGCCTTCGAAATTTTCTCAGACATGCAGGTTTCCTCACGATGTTTTCCTTCACCACCAAGCACGTGGTAATAAGCACTTAAAATTGCTATTAACAATTTAATTGGTGCTGGCGGGGATCGAACCCGGGTCGCGTACTGTGAAATTTACAGCTAGCGCTAACCATCTGAGTTACCACGGCTTAATCATATACATACACAATATTTAAATAAAATAATACACACACACATGAAAATAACAGAAAAAAAGTAATTTAGTCAATAGAATAAACACTTACATCCATAGCCTTTGGTGTATTGAAGTAACACAAATGTACTATTGATAGATCCACTGTAGCCAAACGACCGTACACTAACTCGATGACTGCGTTTGTTGGTCTTATATACCACCAGTACGTAAAAATTCTAATCTAAAGTATTTCCGTAATGAGTTGATAATTACTTTATGCGTCAACCAGTTTATCTCACATTTCCGTTGCCTATCTCAACATTTCTTCGTATTGTGTTTTGTTTGGTGATCAATGACTCAAGTACGATTTGTATAACACAAAAATGCAATTTAATATTTAGAAACATATCAGTTTATCTCACATTTCCGTTGCCTATCTCAACATTTCTTCGTATTGTGTTTTGTTTGGTGATCAATGACTCAAGTACGATTTGTATAACACAAAAATGCAATTTAATATTTAGAAACATATCAGTTTATCTCACATTTCCGTTGCCTATCTCAACATTTCTTCGTATTGTGTTTTGTTTGGTGATCAATGACTCAAGTACGATTTGTATATCACAAAAATGCAATTTAATATGTAGAAATCACTATAATTGACCATTCCTATGTTATTCATTGAGTAGCTAGGTACTGTAATAATCTACTAATAACAGTAATATCATGGATACACTAGATGTACAACAACATCTGAAAAAGATTCACCCCAGTCTAGAAAATAATGTTTATGCAGCTAATAGACTGCCTATGTATACCCACGTACCAACGTATATAATATGTAATTTGGATACAGATGATAAACCAGGGTCACATTGGGTAGCTTTATATATCGATACGAATGACGTCGGTCAATATTTTGATTCATATGGACGATCACCTGTACGATATCATCTAGAGATTTTAAAAAGGAATTGTAAAAGATGGAACTGGAATGTTGATAGGATTCAGAATGAGTGGACTTCAGTTTGTGGCGAATATTGCTTAATGTATTTACTATATAAGTTTCAAGGATGTTCAATACATAGTTTTACGAGTATATTTACAAGGAACACATTGTACAACGATATTTTAGTGGATGAGATGTTTCGCTCCTATTTTATAGATAATAATTAATAAGATTTTGTATTTTATAAATAAAAATTGTAACAAAATTATGTAATGTGTTTTATTGATGATTCAGATTAGCGTTGTATAAACAAAGAATTATAATAAACAATAGCACTGATATAGTCGACGCACACGCTGCAATGAGGGTGATTAATGAACAATAGAACAATAGAAATAGGAACAATGGGACGCTAATGACGGTGGAGGCCCTTACCGGATATCAATTAGATATTAGCTAATTGATCTACACATCTCCGGAACCGTGCATTCTACACAAAAATGGACCGCGGATTCGTGATCAGAGCATGCCAAAACCTTTTTTTTTTTAGGATCGGGCGTCGACGAACGTCGTTGAACCACGTCTGACTCAGGTGGTCTAGAAGTGGTACAACTACACTACTAACGACTGTAGCGAATCCTGAAACAGATCCATGTTCTCGATGAAAGAAGAGCGTAAATTGAATGAAAATGAAATTTTAGAAAATAGACACGCTTGAACCGATGTAAAGAATAAATTAAAAATATATATTGGTTTCATAAAATGACGCCATTTATAAAAAAATATGTGACCGCATGTCTTTATTGTGCTTACGGCAAGGGTAGATAAGAAAGAAGGAAAGTTGCATCTGATCCCTAAGCATGCAAGCAAGTGCATGTAGATCAGTTACGACCGTTCTGTAGATCAAATCAAGATTATCAATGCATGCTGGTAATAACAGATGCATTCTCTAAATTTGGCATAGCTGAGCCAACCAGCACTATCAATTCAATTAAAACCATGCATTCTATAAAAATATTTAACCATTTTGGGTATCCCAGTCACGTTTATATACGTGGTAGAGCCATGCTGCAGCTATATTAGTACTATAGTTGTAGCACGAATGGGTCGGCTCGACCGGGGAAGGACCACGCTCTCACAGAATACCAGCGTAAAATAGCAGCTTAACACTGCTGTGTTTCGTATGGTGAGTGTAGAGAACCAAAGACACTTTTTACTGGAAATGAGGCATTCTATCTTAGTTCTCACGGGCGAGAACGCATCTGCATTTTGGTTCATAATCGAGGATAGATGTAGATAACTGTGGGCCGCAACAACCACTTACCATCAGGTGGACTGTGTGCTCGTTAGTCGCCCTATCCTATAAAAAAAAAAAAACTTTTTAACGGACTATGGAAAGGTATTTACGAATACTTTAAGAAATATTTACTTTAAGAAAAAAGGCAGTTTAGGAATAATTTAAGTGCCATTGCTTGTTCATTTGCTGTCAGGTTACCAGGTATAATAATCGCCAAGGACAAGTGAATATAAGCCATAGCTAGTCATAATTGATTGTTGTTGTTGTTCATTCAAAATATACGATTGAACATTGCAGTGTCTATGAAATCTGTTTAAATTCAGTCGGTATATTTCTACCAAATTTTACCTAGAGTTATTATAGTTTTCGCAGAAAATAATAACTGTAAAAATGTAACCCATGTACCCCTATGAAATATTTTATATATTTCTCTTTGTCACTCCATCACTCACTCCATCTAATGGAGGGTCACCCTACACTTCGCCTACCGATACGAGGCTGCCACTTGAGAACCTTTTTTCCCCATCGGTTGTTGGTACTTCGAGCTATATGGCCGGCCCATTCTGCCCAAGCTGAAGTGGCAACTTACTAATCCGTTGGACTATGTCGGTTACTCTGGTTCTACTGCGGATATCTTCATTTCGAATTCAAAGAAACTGAGTGTGAGCTTAGAGATAAAGAACGAATAACCTATTTACTGATATCAACGCTAGGAAGTAACGAAGTAATATTTACAGCTGTAGAGACAGTAAAAATGAAACGCAATAAAATAATTTAAAATTAATAATTTTGTACAACCGACTTCAATATAAATTATTAAGAATAACTCAAAAACTATTAGTCAGACCTTGATCAAATTTATATGGGACCACATGTGTGTGTGTGTGTGTGTGTGTTGTAGCACCAGCTTTCAAATAATAAAAGAATCATCGAAATCGTTTCATCCAGTAAAAAGTTATGAGGTAGCACACATAAAAAAAACATACAGCCGAATTGAGTACCAGCTCCTCTTTGAAGTCGGTAGATATAATTTAAAATGAAAAATTTTGTACAGCCGACTTCAATATAAGTTATTAAGAATAACTCAAAAGCTATTGGTCTAACCTTGATCAAATTTATATGGGATCACATGAGAAGCACCAGCTTTCAAATAAAAATATCATCGAAATCGGTTCACGCAGTAAAAAGTTATCAGGCAACACACATAAAAATAAATAAAAGAATATACAGTCGAATTGATTACCTCCCCCTTTTTGAAGTGGGTAGAAAAAAATGAGTATTACGAAACGGATTAATCAAAATTTCCTGTAAGGGACAGTTACTAATGACTATACTCTGATCAAAATCCTTAATTTACTAAGACAT